GCCTGTGGTGGCGGGCGCACGCCGAAGAAGCGGCGCCCGCGGCGGCCGCCGGCCGCGCGTCAGAGCAGCCAGGGGCCGCCCCGAGCCTGAGCGAGCGCCCGTGGGCGCTGGACGCGGGCGCTCCCGCGTCGTTGCGTCGGTGTGCGGCCCTCGCGGCGCTGCACATGCACGGCGCGGCGGCCGCGTGCGCCGTTGCGTCTTTGGCGGGGCCACCGGCGCACCCCTATGTGGTTGAAGAAACGAACGTCCGGCTGCAGCTGGGCGTGCTGTCGGCGATCGAGAGCGGCACGGGCGGTCCCGAGATCGCGGCGGCGATGCGGCGACAGTGGCTGCAGCGGCAAAGGGAGCTGGTCGCGATAATGGCGGAAATGAGTCCCGGGATGCCCAGGGCAGCGCTGGCGGTGGCGGCGGACGCGGGGGCGCCGGTTGGCGCGGCGGGCCTGTCGTTTGCGGAGCACGCCTTTTACCAGAAGCATGAACTCATCAACGCAGAGCTGGTGGGCGCCATCGCCGCCGCGGCCCGCAGTGGCTCGGCCTCCGCGCTAGAAGCCGTGCTCGACAGCGACATGGCGGCTGCCGCGCGCGGCCTGCGGCGCAGCTACGGCGGCGGGACCCCGCTGCTGGGCCCGGACCACGCGGCGCTCGTGGCCGCGGTCGTGCGCGGCGATGCGGCGCTCGTGAGGCTCCTCGCGCGGCGGCGAGCCGCGGCGTGCGGCGGCGGCCCGCGGCCCAGGACGCTGGCGGCGATGCGCGGGTGGACGCTGGGCTTCATGCCGCTTGCTGGCCGCCTGCTCGGGGGCGCCCAGCACGACAACGGCTTGAGCATCCTGCTCGCTGCGCTGCGCCGCGCCTGCTGGGGCGGCGGCGCGAGAGGCGCGGGTGGCGGCGGGGGCGGCGGCGGGGATGGGGCTGGTGGCAGCAGCAGCTTCCATGGCAACGTGCTTGTCCCGCGGGCGCTGGCGCCGCCAGAGTTTGCGGACGTCGTGTTCGCGCTGGGCCGCGGCTGGCCTGAGGGCGGCCTGCTGCTGGATATGGTCGTCTCCGCCGCGCTGCCGACCTTGCAGCTGGCGGGCGACCCCGAGGCGCTCGCGCCGCTGCTGTGCCGCGTCGGCCGCGCGGGGCGGCTGCCGGCGTTCGCGTGCCGCGTGCGCTCGTCCACGGTGGGGAGGTTCCAGCAGTGCGGGGTCTCCTGGCCGGTGAGCGCCGACCTGGTGGCGGCGCTGGCTGCGTGGGTTGGGCGGGCGCGGGTAGTGCGGGATGAGGGCTCAGAGGAGGACGAGGAAAGCGACGATAGCACAGGGGATGAGGACGATGAGCCGCAGGGGGAGGGGGAGAGGGAGGGAGAGGGGGATTATGATTATGATGCGGAGGAGGAGGAGGAGGAGGAGGAGTCTGATTATGACGATGATGAGGAGGAGGGGGAGGAAGGAGGATAGGGTGGCAATGGCATGGGCAGGTGCGGCTCAGCATCCCCTTGACAGCTGTAACCAGTGGATTTGGAAGCATATGCCCACGCGCCCCACGCGCAGCAGTACCAGTGGAACATGGCACGGAATGCATCACAATATGCGGTGCTTGCACATGACCGCCGCATGCACTTTGATACACCATGCTCGGGGGGGCCCTGCCAGACATCGCAGTTCTTACACCGTGCATTGATTGTGTGCTGTCCCTCCCAGACATGCCCTGCTAGTGCTACTCCCACAGCACGGCGTATCGGGATGGCCACAAGTGCAGGGATCCACTCAGTCAATGTACGGAGGCATGCTGCAAGGTGCGGCTTTGCAGTGGAAGTTGTCAACGATTCATCGCAGATAGCCATGCAGCAGCGCAGCTGACGCTCCTCCGCTTGAAGCACTGCTTTCACCTGACAGTTACTTCAGCCACTTCTTGTACACACACTGATCAAACTCCTGCGATACTGGCGGAAATGCGGGGTGTTCGGTGCAGCGCCGGCTGTGACGGCGGACACAGGGTTGCCGGTCGGCGCGGTGGGCCTGTCGTTTGCAGAGCACGCCTTGTACCAGAAGCAGGAACTCATGAACGCAGCGGTCAACGTTCTACTGCATGCTCCACAGCCATGCAGCAGCAGGGCTGCTGTTATGAAGGTTCCTCAGCAAGACGCTGTTACCACACAGACTCTTAAGCCATCGCTTGGTCCACACGATGGTTGGACTGAGAGAGAGCCCTATGACTTATGTGAAAGTGACCCTACTTGAAAATAGCTGCCGGTAATCGTTCCATACACTTTCGACTGCTCAGATACACCGCATGGATTTGCACTACATTTATTGAGCTTTTGGGTCCACACGCACACTCAGCAGATCACACTTGGACAGGGGCGCGAGCCTTACACACGCAGGGACGGGGGCGCGTCGCCACCTTTGACGATGGCAGCAGCATGATGGCGCGGAGGTCGCGTCTCACTCTTTGACCGCTTCTCTGCCCTGTGAACCCTGACTTGAAACCCCGCAGCCTGACGTGGCGGCGCTGGCAGCTCAATACGAGCTTCGGCTGCGCGAGGGCCAGAAAGCCATCTTCCTCCTGGAGGCCTTTGTGGGGCAATTCAGGTTGCAGTAAAAAATAGTCAGCTGACAGCCTTTGGCTTAGGCCTGCACTATGTCCTGTCGCAGCCTCCCAGTGGAGGCGCGCGGAGGCTGACCTGCGGAAGGCCTTGGTTTGTGTCTGCCGCTTGTGGTTTTTTTGTCAATTGCTACTAGTCGATGTTTAGGACGGCTACCCTGCAGCACGGTGTGAATTCACAAACTCCCCTGTTGACATCATGGTAAAACTAGCAACAACTCCGCAGGGCCTGCGCGCTTGGCCCCTCACGAGAGCCAGAAACGTGCCGTGGCATAAGCCTCGTAGCTGCACATGCTTTTGACGCGCCAGAACTGGTAAAGGTGGGATGTGTCGGGCACACTGACGTCCTCAGCACTGCACTGCAAACCTGGAAGCACTCGGCAGTATGGCTTGCCGAATTCCCGCCGCCGCGCAACGCAATCTAGTGCACTTGTATGGTGTCCTTTTAATGAACCAGACATCGCTGACAGACATCGCTAACACGTGCACGCCTGCTTCGATGCAATGGCGCGCAGATCATCCATCGTGAGGATGATCCTGCCGTGTGTCGTGCACTGTCGAGTATAGGCTGCAAGCATCATCGTAATACACGTGCACGTGAACTTACGCGCACACAGACGGCTGCGTCCCTTGGCTGAACGTACGCCCTTCCCGTTCGCGGCGCCACGCGCTACGATGCAGAGTGCCAGAGGCTTGTGCCTGCTGGACGCGCCCGACGGCGTCCTGTGCACAGTCCTACTATGACTTGACGACCCATGGGCATTTTCTGGGACATGTCGGTGAGCATCCTCCGTTCAGGAGCACTACAGCACCCTTTCGCAGCTGCCGCCGCCGCCGGCGCTAGTCCGCCCGCAGCGCTGCCGTTTCGCCGGCTTGAACCAACCCCGCCATCCCCCGCAGGCGTGTGTGGCAGCTGAGCAGGCACTGCCTGACAGACTGGCTGCTGCGGCACCACGGCCGCGCCGCCCCCCTCCGCGAGTGGCAGCACGCCGCCATCACATGGCACGCGCTCCGCAGCCTGTCGACGCGGCAGCTCGCTGAGTGGCTGCTCGCCTGCTCGCGCCGCGCGCGCGAGCTGACCCGGGACCCCGCGGCGACGGCGCCGCGACAGCGCCACCGCGCGCAACTTTGCACGCCTAGCGGCGACGAGGAACAGCGCGCGGCCGAGGCGGAGGCGGCGCGCCTGCTGCGCGGCGGCGACGCGGCGGGGGCGCTCGCCGCTGTCAGCGCGCCCGACGGCGACTTGATGCTGCCAATCCTCTACGCCGCCCAGGCCGGCCGCGCTGACCTGGCGCTTGACCTATCCGATCGTGTAGCCGCCCCGGGGCCCGCTATGTTCTCCCCCGCCGCCGCGCTGCGTAGCGGCCACCCCGAACTCGCCATGCAGCTCGCCCGCGCGCCCGGCGCGCCCGTCATAGCGCCGGGCGGGCGCGCGCTCTGGGTGCTGTGCGCAGCCGCGCGCTGCGGCGGGGTGCCCCCCGGCGCACTGGCCGCCGCCGCGGCGTTCGCGCCTGAGTTGGATGCGGCGGACGCGTTTCCTCTGCTGGTGCGCGCGTGCCTGTCTCGAGTCCCCGCAAGTTTTGGCAACGGCTGGCGCGCGGGCGAGGGCGGGGGCGCGTGCGCCTGCAGCGGCCGACGTCGTGCTGGCCGGTATGCAGGGCGCCCTGGCTGAGCCGGGCGTGGCGCAGGTGCTCGCGTCTGCGGCCGTTCACACGGGCTTGGAGACAAGCCTCTCGGCCGTCGCAGTCCGCGCAGCGCTCGACGCGCGGCACGGCGCGCCGCTCGCGGCGGCGCTGCGTGCTCTGCTCGGCGCGCTGCCGCGTGGCGCGGCGCCGCCCGTGCTGGCGCACGCCGCGCGGATGTGCGCCGAGGTGCGCAGCGGAGCAGTCAGCCCCCTGCTGCCCGCGGAGTTGCTGGGGGTGGTGGTTGGCGAGGCGCGGCGCGCGGGCTGCGGGGATGGCGTCGAATGGCTGCTGCTGCGCGGCGGGCCAGCGGCCAGACGGGGCAGCGGCGGCGGCGGCGACGGTGGGAACGGAAGCGGCAGTGATGAGGACAGCGGGGCCTGGCCTGGTGGAGCGGGCGGGGACGAAGGCGAGGGCGGCGGCGGTGCTGGAGGGGACGGCGGCGCGGTTGGCGGGGGGCAGGGCGGCGGCGGGGCCGGCGGCGATGGGAACGGCGCCGCCAACGTCGCTGCGCCGGCTGCGGAGGCAGCGGCGGCGGGCGGCGGCGGGCCCGACCTCCATGCAAACGGATCCAACGCCGGCGGCCGGGGCGGCCCTCTCGCGGCGGCCTCAATTGGGGCGCGCCTGTGGTGGCGGGCGCACGCGGAGGGATCGGCGCCTGCGGCGGCCGCCGGCCGCGCGTCGGGGCAGCCAGGGGCGGCCCCGAGCCTGAGCGAGAGCCCGTGGACGCTGGACGCGCGCGCCCCTGCGTCTTTGCACTGCTGTGCGGCCCTCGCGGCGCTGCACGTGCACGGCGCAGCGGCCGCGGGCGCCGTCGCGGCGCTCGTCAAGCCTTGGGAGGGGCCGCCGCCCCGCCACTACCTGTTTACAGAAAAGAACGTCGAGCTGCAGCTGGGGGTGCTCTCGGCGATCGAGGGCGGCGCGGACGGCCCCGCGGTCGCGGCGGCCATGCGGCGGCAGTGGCTGCAACGGCGAAGAGAGGTGCTCGCGGTACTGGCAGACATCAGGCGCGGGCCGCCCAAGGCGACGGCGACGGCGGCGGGCAGCGGGGCGCGGAAGGGCCGCGGCGCCGTCGCCGCCGCCGGCCCGGCCGCAGCCGCGACCGCACCTGTGGACAGCGCTCCGGAGCATCGCCGCACAGCTGTGGCCGCCGGCGCGGGCCCTGGCGCCCCTGCGGCAGCCCCAGCCGCCGAGGCCGGCGGCGCGCCCGCCGCAGGCGCAGCAGGCGCAGCGCTTGCGCCGGCCGGCGCGGCGGGTCGGCCGTCTGCGGCGGCGCGCCGCGAGGCTGAGCTGGCGTTCCATCAGAAGCACGAACTCATGATTGCAGAGCTGATGGGCGCGATCGCGGCTGCGGCCCGCACCGGCGCTCCGGCCGTGCTGGGCGCAGTGCTGGACAGCGACATGGCGGGCGCCGCGCGCGGCATCAGGAGCAGCGGCCTCGGCCCCGCCTCGCTGCTGGGCCCGGACCAGGCGGCGCTCGTGGCCGCGGTCGTGCGCGGCGACGCGGCGCTCGTCCGCCTCCTCGCGCGGCGGCGCGCCGCGGCGCACGGCGGCGGGCCGCAGCCGAGGACGCTGGCGGCAATGCGCGGATGGGCGGTGGGGTTCATGCCGCTGGCCTTCGGCTTGCCCGGGGCCCAGCAGGACGATGCCCTGGGCATCATGCTCGCCGCGCTACGCCTCGCCTGCTGGGGCGGCGGCGCTCGCGGCGGGGACGGCTGCGGGGGCCGCGGCGGGGGCAGCGGCGGGGATGCGGCTGGCAGCAGCGGCGGCGGCGGCGGCAGCAGGGGCGGCGGCGGCTTGCTGGGCAACGTGCTGGTCCCGCGGGCGCTCGCGCCGTCAGAGTTTGCGGACGTCGTGTTCGCGCTGGGCCGCGGCTGGCCGGAGGACGGCCTGCTGCTTGATATGGTGGTGTCCGCCGCGCTGCCGGCCATGGAGCTGGCGGGCGACCCTGAGGCGCTCGCGCCGCTGCTGTGCCGCGTCGGCCGCGCGGGGCAGCTTCCAATGTTTGCGCGGCGCGTGCGTGCGTCCACAGTGGAGAGATTTCATTTGTGCGGAATTTTCTGGCCGGTGAGCGCCGACCTGGTGGCGGCGCTGGCTGCGTGGATTGCGCGGGCGGAGATGGTGGGGGTTGAGGGCTCAGAGGCGGACGAGGCAAGCGACGATAGCACAGGGGACGATGGCGACGATGAAGAGGAGGAGGAGGATGAGGAGGAGGAGGCGGACGAGGACGAAGATGAAGAGGAAGAGGAGGAGGAGGATCGGGAGGGCGGAGAGTGCGTGATGAGGGGCGAGGAGGGCCCGAGTGGTGGATGATTGGCGGGGCGGTGGGTGTTGGGAGGGTAGGGTGGCGATGGCATGGGCGGATGCGGATTCAGCATCCCTGTGACAATGTGAGCCAGTCAATTTTGATGCTTTTCCCATGCGTGGTCGCAGCTAGCATTGCATCACAGCAGGTGGGGCAGCATGCCTCACCAGCCATGTTCAAAATCAACGTACACTGTCCTTGCAATGAATGCCACATGCACGTTGAATAGGCCGTGCCTGTCAAGCGTAGCGGTGCAACTGTATCAAAATCTTGCGGACTTTCAAACGCGAGGGAGAGCCCGAATCGCCGCCCGTGGCGGGGCGCGCGGCTTGGTGGGGCCCTAACCAGGCTGCATGGGGCTTTCAATTGCACCGGGCATGCCCGGACACGCCCTGCCTGTAATACTCCCGTGGTATAGCGTCTTCGAGTGGTCTCTCATGCAGTCAAATCCCAGACAATGTACGGGGCCATGCTGCATTTATAGCCGGGTTCGCAAAAGCAAGAGCATAGGTCAACGGTCTACGGTGTGACAACAGCGACCAGCCAGGCGGTCAAGAGGCTGCTATCCTGTAGGTCCCCACCACCACAGCAATACAGGGCACTGTGGGTATCCAAAATACTCCGCACTTCCTTGGTCCAAGCGGTTATCATGTCAGACTGCATCACTGCGCTATGACTAACGAAGAAGTGACCCTGCGTTGCAAATGCTGCCGGTAAGTGTTCCGTACTGGAATCTGCCGCGAAGTTGATCCGCATGCGTTTGCACTACTGTTGTTTGTTCGAAAGCTCACTGATCTGGACACGCACACTCTCACACTCGGGAAGCTGGGCTGCAGTTGCGGACCCGTATTGCGTAATTAGATATTTGCATTTCAGCCTGCTTGACACGGTCTGCGGGACGAGAGGCATGGCGGGGCCGCCACAACAGCGCAGCGGCGGTCTTTCCGAGGAGATGCGGCGCATCATCCGCGGCGAAACAACTGCAGAGGAGAAAAACAAGGCGTACCAGGGCAGCCTGGAGAGGTGCTAATGGCCTCCTCGCATGGTTGCGGCTGCCGTGGCGGCAGCAGCGCGGAGCGGACGCTGTGTGGCGTGCCACCTCACAACCTCGCCCTGTCCCTGCGCTCGCGCTGTCGTCGCGCCCGTCAGACCAAGCAGGCACTTGCATCGCTCGCACAACAGCACTACCTGTGGGCTGTACCCGCCCGCTGCAGCAAAGGTTTCGTCTTGCGGCGCCGTCGCCCCATGGCCGCCTACCCTCGGACCAGGCAGCTACCTGAGCCCTCTGCCCCTGTCCGCCCCTTATGCTTGCATCCGTAGGTGGTGGCAGGATTACGCCAGCCGAAAGAACGAGGAGGAGGACATGGTGGCAAACAGCCTCCTGTGAGCCGCGCGTGCTGCGCGAACAACAGGGCACTGGTCAGGGCGCACAGACGGGGGACGAGGGTGGATCGCAGCGCAGCGCGCCGCCCGTCTGCGCGTGGGCTTGTGCGCACCAAGGGCCGTGAAGCGGTCGCCGTAAAGCAGCAAAGGCGACACAGGGTTGGAGATCTTTGGATACGGCGTTGCACGTCCCTTTACCACCCTCTTCACCCCTCGCTCTTGCCTTCCCTGCAGATATGACGAGCGCTGGTGCGGTGTTGGGTTCGCATATCATCGCTGGCTTTGGGTTGATGCTTTGTGCCGCGGAGCGCCAGCTGAATAAGATTTAGTTTGAGGCAGTCACAAAATCTGACTTGGCTGCCGCAGTCCTAATATCAGGGGCGGCCGCGGATGGCCTCCAGCCTCGCCATCACAGCGCACACAGCCGCCCACCAGACCACGGCGCCCCCCATCCCCCGCCCAAACCC